AAGAAAAAATATTCAAAAACAAAAAAAATGGCAACAATTGTAGGAAAATCGTCCCCAGACCATTTTTCAACTATTTTTGAATTTTCGGCCTGTAGAGGGACAGGCCCGACTTAACTGTAGCGGGCTTAGGCGCCGCTGAGCGAGACTCGGCCAGCCTTCGACCAGGGACGTGCCCCCGCCGATCCAGAACTCAACCCTCCCAGGAGCGGCACCCCACCATCCCCCCCCCTGGGCCAGACCACCCCGAACGTTAGGTCCGGCATGTCCCCCTCCAGGCGGATTTTGGACGAACAATGTACAATTCCCCAAGAACTGTTCAAACATAGTCAGAAATAGTCGTGTCAAAAAAAATCGTCCCCAGGCTGCTGCTTTGACTACTTGTGAACATTCCCCCTGCAGGGGGACAGGCCCGCCTTCACCCCAACGCTGCCCCCGATGGGGAGAGGCCGCCCGCAGCCTCCTGGCGCCGCGGCCGGGCGCCGCGGCCGGGCCCCGGGCCCGAGGGCCGACGGCCAGACCTCCGACGACGCGGTCTCGTCCACCCGCGGCTCGTCCCTCGGTTCTGGAGGGAAACCGGGACACACCAACAAATGGACACAGGTCACCAGACTCCCCATGTTTCCCATATCTTCTGGGTTTCTGTCTTCTCCCCCCCTTCCCATGTTTTCCCATATTCTCGGGGGAATCGACGATTCATTGTGTCTGTGTGTTTTCTCCCCTCCCTCGGTTCAGCGGCGTCCAAAGAGCGAACGAACGGCGCGCGAGTCGTCCCTGCCAGGGGACGGGCCGGCCAGCGGCCTGCGCGGGGCGGCCGTGGGCGCTCACTCTGTCGGCCTATGGAGCTCCTTCGCGGTGCGACCCGGAAGCACTGGCGAGACCGTCCTCCTGCAGGGCGGGGCCGTCCAAGAGGGGGGCGTCCAAGAGGGAGGCTCGCGAATCATGGCCCGAGGCGTGTGCGCGGACCAGGGATGGGGTCCAGGGAACGTGCTGAGACCAGGCGAGGGGCCATGAAATCCGGGGAGATATCATGGCCCCCGCCATGAGATCCACCCCCCCGGGTCATCACCCCCCTCTTGGCCGCCCCCCATTGATTTCGGCCCTGAGGGGAGTCATGGGGCCCCGGGACCATCGAAAATGGAGCTGGTGGTGGTCGTGAGGGAGCTCAAGCGCCAGCTGGGTTTCTCGAGAGCCCACGGGCCTGCGCTGACACAATTACACACGCCGTCGCTGAAGAAAGAAAACAACCCCCTGGGGAAGGGGTCGGGACCTCTGGGGCCGAGAGCTGAAAGCTATCCTGGCGAAGGACCCGACCATATGCAGTTGTGAGCGCTCTATGGGGCCACGAGCTGATTGAGGGGTACGCTAAAAAAGGGGGCACCGCCATGCGAACTCCACCACTGGGGCCTTCGGTGGAGCCTTATGGGGCCACGAACCGTGTGAGGAGTGCAACAAAGTCGGCCGGCACTGCCACGTGGACCCTGTCACTGGGGCCTTCGGCTGAGCTCCCTATGGGGCCACGAACCGTGCGAAAGGTGCGCCACAATGGGCCGGCACCGCCACGTGGACCCTGCCACTGGGGCCTTCGGTGGAGCTCCATGTGAGGCCACGAAGCGTGAAGGGGTGCGCCCAAAAGGGGCGGCGCCGCCATGTGGAGCCTGCCACTGGGGCCTTCGGTGGAGCTCCCTATGGGGCCACGAACTGTTTGAGGCGTGCACCGAATTGGTCTGGCGCCGCCACGTGGACCCTGCTACTGGGGCCTTCGGTGGAGCTCCCTATAAGGCCTCGAAGCGTGTGAGGTGTGAGGGGTGCGCCGCCACGTGGACCCTGCTACTGCGGCCTTCGGTGGAGCTCCTATAGGGCCACGGACCGTGTGAGGGGTGCGCCAAAAGGGAGCGGTGCCGCCATGTGGACGCTGCCGCTGGGGCCTTCGGTTGAGCTCCCTGCGGGGCCAAGAAACGTGTGAGGGGTGTGCCGAAACACAAACATGCGGAAGGCAGAGGCAAGGATAGGAGGAAGGAGGGGGAGGAGGAGCGAAGGAGGAAGGAACGCGCGGCGCTCTCTCTTCAAAACGAGGACTCAACACCACTGGATGGTCTGGAAACACACATCGGCGGATGTCTGGGCATCGGGATCGCAGCCCGGTGGCGGGGCCTGGGCCGAAGGGCTGCGGAGGAGGTGATGGCGGAGGCCGTGGGGCGCAGGAGGGCACACTAGCGCCGTATGCGCGCCCCCCCTTTGAGGCGCACGTCCGACCTGGACGCATGGCACGAGCACGGTGCCGCATGTCGTTAGCCAAGCGGCATTGCCAGGCCGCGCCCGCCACGGTGCTTGAGAACATGTTTTCGCTCGCGGCGATAACGAGCGTCATAGGGGGGGAGGAGGGGGGCGGGGGGGCATGACGCAATGCCCCCGCCACCCTCCGTGACAGACTGTGCCAAACGCACTGCGCCAGCGCCGGGACGCACTGGCGCGGGGGTGAACGTTACGTTTTGGCGGGGGGGGCGGGAGGGGGGGGTGGGGCGGCGCACACCGCGCGTCATGACCCAGAGGGTAAAAAAAGACACCCTCCTCTTCCTTGTGCTACAAGATTGTGTAAAGAAGTACGCGCGCCGCCCCTGCGGGAGGCGCCGCGCACGTGGCGCAGGCATGTGCGAGTACGACCGAACGATCGACCTGCATGAAGGAGATGGGTCCTGGAGAGCATGGGCCCTGTCGGGCGGGTGGCAATGGGGGGTGACCTACATGGAAGGCGGAGAAGAGGGCCCCAACAGGGCCCCTTTCGGAGCCGGCAGGGGCCCAAAAGGGGCCCGCCCGAAAGGGCCCCTCTGAGGCCACTTTCTTCACCCCCCATTTGGGTCACCCTCCCCCAGGACCACCCGCCCGACCCTGGATGTCGCGTGTCGCTTCCGAGGCCCTGGGGGCCCTCCACGGCTCCCGGGCCCGTCGAAGAACAGCCCAGAAGGGAGAGCTGGTCCCAGGGAGGGCCCCCGGGGGCCAGGGCCCCTATCCCTCGAGGCGGGGGAGAGGAGGAAGCTATACTCCTTGGTCCCTTCATACACCGTGATCTTGCCACTGGCCGCTGTGCTGGTATCACTAGTGGCCACCCTCCCTCTTGGCATCTGCCTGCAATTACAGCATGATGTGGAAGTTCAGCCCGCCATCGAAGCACGTGGGACCAATTCGGGTACATAGCTCATAGCTGTAGAAAGCACGCGCTGGCAACACCACGGAACAATCAGGCAACGAGGTTGCGGTGACCTGCTATGACGCACTCAAAGGCAGCATCGGAAAGGTGTCAACAAAACCTAAGGATAGCATCCTTCCGTGGACGCGCATGCTGTCCGCACACTGGCAAGGAAACATACAAGAGAAGAGCATCGCGCGCTCTGTACATAAAGCCAGGCGCAATCCATTCGACGAGCACAACATGCTGACCGTGCGCTTGTGAAGCCGCCAGATCGATCAAACGCAGAAAGGCAAGGGGAGGAGGAGCTACTGGGGAGTTACTTCGTGTCCTTGCGGGCAATTGTCCGCCGGCCCCTTGGGAGCCAACAGACTGCGTAGGCTAGGCCTTCCTGCATCCTACAACAGTTCCAGTGTTCCATGTTATAGTTATTGTTTGTCGAGATCCAATATCGTGTTGCATTGGTTGAACAACGCGCGAGGACCCCAGCCAAAAAAACGCCCCACTGCCACTTCGGAAACAATCTACAGTAGGAGCTCGAACAGCAGAAACCTTCCACAAGAAACCCAACCCTGAGACCCCAGGATGTCAATTGACTTCTGGTGTGAGAAAGTCACGCTTTCCATAGCAAAACCATCGAAACCCAGACACCCAGGGCACTCTGGAGGCAAGCAGGGTGTTTATTGGCGTGGGTTTCCACTGTGTTTGCGGTCCCTGGGGCACGTGAAAATACAGCATACCCGCGCCCCCGAAGCCACAATCTCTCGTACATAAAAAAGGCGCTCGCGCTCTCGAGACCGCATCCCCTTGTAACGGGCTCGCACCCCCGAAAGCACAGCCCTTTGTAGACTACCCCGCGCGTGCGCTCCCGAGGCCACAACCCCTCGCGAATCACAACCAGTCTCGTCCCCAGGACCATTGCCCAACGTACATTACAACGAAGTCGAACTTCCGAGACTACAGTCCCCCGAAAATTGCACCACGCGCTCGTGCTCCCCCAGACCACAACCCCCCGTAAAATGCACTGGCTCGCGCCCCCGGGGCCACATCCCACCGCAAATTACAATAGATTGGCGTCCTCGAGGGAACCATCCTATGCAAGTTGCGAGACGCTCACACTCTCGAATGCACAATCCTTTGTAAAATACTTCACCTGAACGCTCCCGAAGCTACAACATGTCGTGAATTACAGCGCGTTCACACTGCTGTGGCCATGAACCCGTGTAAGTCAGGACGCTCGCGGCCTCAGGGGGCCACAATCCCTAGCAAGTTAGGGCGCGTTCGCGCTCCCGTGGCCACGACCCTTCGTAAAGTACTACGTGCTCGCGCCCCGCGTGGACACCATCGTTTCCAGATTACGACGCACCCGCGCTCCCGAAGCAGAATCCGTTTCCCATGACTCGCAGTCCTGCATGAGCTACTTCTGCAAGGTATTACACACCCGCGCTCCCGAGGCCTCATACCCCTCGCACAATACTACGCATCCGCGCCCCCGATGCCGCAATCCATCTGTAAGACCAATCCCGTGCTCCCGACGCAACGAGCCCCCCGCACGGAGGCTGCCCAAAAGCGCCTCACGAATCCGCCAAAATCCCACCAGCCCTCTGGGCTGAAACGGCTTAAGGCGTTTTCTCTTACGTCCTCCCGCCCTCTTCCACTTCGGAGAGGAACAACTGCATGAACAGAATGTCTCTGAGGTCCACGCCGATCCGAGAGATCCGCGCGGAGCTCCGAGCCACTCTGTGTGCGCCGCTGTGTCTTCGACTTCGGGAGAAGTCTTACCCCTCCGCCGTCGTCCTCTCTTTCCTCCACGGTCCTTGTATCCAGACTTGAAGCGGCCCGTCATCGGCACCTCGCCCCCCTGCTTGGCATCGTACGGCGACGTGTCCTCCGCAGCGGCTCGCCCGGGGCCCCGGCGCGGGCGAGGAAAAGGGGCGAGCAGGAGCGGACGATCACACCGCATCCCCGATGCATCGGTTGTGATGGGATGGAGAGACTCAGGCTCCCGATCGGCCCGCATCGCCGATGCATGGCCTGCATGGCCGATGCGGCGCGATCCTCCGACGCCATCACCTGGGAGAACCTGGGTGGGCCCCGCTGGCCAGTCTCCCCCCCCCAAATATGGGGTTGGGCACCGTCTCCTTCGAGCTCCGCAGCACCAGGCCTGCCCAGAGGGCCCCCCTTGCCGGGCTGGACCAGAAACCACACGACACCACCCGACCTACGACCCAGCGATGTTGAAAGTCTGGGCGCTTACCGACTAGCGACCCACCTACGACCCACCTGCGACACCACCCCACCTACGACCCACCTACGACCCAGAGGGTCGAAGGGGTGGTGTCGACAGGTTCTTGGAGAAACCAAAAAGTATCGATACCGCTACTCCCCCGACCTCTCCTGGGGTGAGTTCTGACCAGAATTTCGAGGCGAATCCAGCGGTGGCGACGAGGGCCTCGCAGGAGGCCCAAAAATACAACAACAAAGGAAGAGCAGCGGCATCGGTACCATTTCCTCCTCTGAGTTCTTGGTTGATTAGCATCGTACGGGGAGGTTCGGGGGCGACGACGGGTCCTCCTCCTCCTCCTCCTCCTCCTCCTCTTCCTCCTCCTCCTCCTCCTCCTCCTCCTCCCACTCCTCCCACTCCTCATGCTGCTTATCCCTTCCCTTTCCCCCTGCTCTTCCTCATCCTCCTCCTGTCTTCCTCTCGTTCTCCTCCTGTTCTCCTCCTGTCCTCCCCATGTCCTCCTCCTAAATCCTTCCTCCTCCTCCTCTCTCATCCTCCTCCTCTCCTCTCCTCCTCATCCTCCTCCTCCTCCTCCTCCTCCTCCTCCTCCTCCTCCTCCTCCTCCTCCTCAACCTCCTCCTACTCCTCCGCCTCCGCCGCCTCCTCCTCCTCCTCATCCTCCTCCTCTTCCTCCTCCTCCCATTCCTCCTCCTCCGCCTCCTCCTCCCCTCCTCCTCCTCCTCCTCCTCCTCCTCCCTCCCCACCTCCCATCTCATGCTACTCCTTCCCTTTCCTCCTCCTTCCTCTCCTCCTCCCGCCCTCCTCCTCCTCCCTCCTCCTCCTCCTCCTCCTCCTCCTCCTCCTCCTCCTCCTCCTCCTCCCCCTCCCCCTCCCCCTCCCCCTCCTCATCCTCCTCCTCCTCGCCAACTGCGCCGCTGCCGCCACTTCCGCGAAGCTGATGCAACCGACCACTCCTGGTGGAAACGGCGACTGCGACTGCGACTGCGACCCGCATAGCGCACCCTGCAGGTGCCGCGGGTCGGGGCCGAAGCGCCCAGAAGAAGCATCGCTCAAATTGACTCATGGTGGAACGGGCGGCCTCGTCGAAGCATCCTACACGGACGCCGACGACGTGGACGGATTGCTACGATGGCTCCGACGACGTGGACGGCCTCTGGCGGCACCTGTAATTCCGTCACGCAGTCCCCGGCAACGGCCACGGGAGCCTGCTCGTAATCCGCGACCCAGGCCTGGACTGTCTTTCTCACGGGGGCCGCCGGCGGACTTGGCGGCGCGTCTGCGCACTTTTAGTCTGAGTGGTGCAAGGCAGAGGAGAAGGAAAAACGCTCCTCCGCGAATGATGTCAGTATAGCACCTTGGTAGTCCGCGAGCACAAATCGTTCCTCTTCGCCCTCCATGGCATCCTGTGTCTCCGCCTTATGCTGTTCTTCGTTCTTGCATGTCCACTTCCCCAAACTCTTAACTCTCTTTTCGCATCATCCTCGTCGCCGTCACCTTCTGTAATCCGCCGGCCCCCTTGTGGGGCCACCAGGCTGTAGGACCGTGATTCGCAGTTTCCTGTACCAGTCGTAGGTTGTAGTTTCCAGTGTTACAGTTATGCTTCTTGCTGGTTACTGTAACTAGTTGACTTCTTGCTGGTTACTGTAACTAGTTGATTGACCGCGCGAGGGGGGGGGAGGCCCAAACAAGATTTTTAGCGTCTCCTGGGCGCGTTGTCTGAATTGCTGGGGGGGCTCGAAATCGACACCCCTCACGCAGATCCGCGGGGTCAGGGTCCAAAAACACATGGGATTTGCCACATTTCTGAAATTCGGTGCCACCCCTCACGCAGATCCGCGGGGTCAGGGTCCAAAAACACAGGGGATTTGCCACATTTCTGCAATTCGTGCCACCCCTCACGCAGATCCGCGGAGTCAGGGTCCAAAAACACATAAGATTTGCTACATTTCTGAAATTCGGTGCCACCCCTCACGCAGATCCGCGGGGTCAGGGTCCAAAAACACAGGGGATTTGCTACATGTCTGAAATTCGGTGCCACCCCTCACGCAGATCCGCGGGGTCAGGGTCCAAAAACACACGGGATTTGCCACATTTCTGAAATTCGGTGCCACCCCTCACGCAGATCCGCGGGGTCAGGGTCCAAAAACACATGGGATTTGCCACATTCTGAAATTCGGCGCCACCCCTTACGCAGATCCGCGGGGTCAGGGTCCAAAAACACATGGGATTTGCTACATTCTGAAATTCGGTGCCACCCTCACGCAGATCGGTCCAAAAACGCAGGGGATTGCTACCTTCTGAAATTCGGTGCCACCCCTCACGCAGATCCGCGGGGTCAGGGTCCAAAAACACAAGGGATTTGCCACATTTCTGAAATTCGGTGCCACCCCTCACGCAGATCCGCGGGGTCAGGGTCCAAAAACACACGGGATTTGCCACATTTCTGAAATTCTGTGCCACCCCTCACGCAGATCCGCGGGGTCAGGGTCCAAAAACAAAGGGGATTTGGCACATTTCTGCAATTCGGTGCCACCCTTCACGCACATCCATCGCAAGGCGTGGTAACCCAAACTGCGAGAACTCCCTCGGCCCTGTAATCGCAAGGTGTGGTAACCAAGCCCGTCAACCATACACGTCTTACCAATCGCCAGGTGTGATAACCCCTCTTGTGATCAGTTGGTTTTGCTGACTGCGAATCGGCTTCGCATGAAGATTCGATACTGCTTCACGACAGCGCCAAGGCCTCATGACTTAGCTCTTCCATGGCCCATTCTCCGAGAGAGGGGGCCGGCGGCAGGGGGCGAAGCCCTTACGGATCAATTCTCCATTTCCTAACCTTCGGTGTCAGCTCCCCGTCTATCATTCGCACCGGATTGCATGCTTCGTCAAACATTCAATCATTTCAAATGGGTCCGTCGATGGTGCCGCTTGCTGCAGACGGGTACGGTACTAAACTTCGACAATTTGGAACCTGTTTCGGCCCCCAGCCGCCTCTATAGAAGCTCTGGAGGCCTCTGGGGGATCTCCGGAGGACTCTGGAACCTCCAGGGACGAGAGAGGGGAGGGGGCCCCGGGGGGGTCAAAAGGGGAGGATGGAGGGGGGCAGAGGAAGCAGAGGGCACAGAGAGGGCCGAGGGGAGGGGCAATCTGGGCGCGGGCTCGCCACGGCTGACATCCTACCCCTCCCCACCCATTCCTCCCCACTGCGCCGATTTTTCCTCTGCCCGCCAACGGGTGTTCTGGCGGATCTGGATCCCCAAAACGACCCCATCGTGCGGTGCGCAGGAGGGAGGCCGATCGCTAGGGGGAGGGATTGGGAGATCTAGGAGGAGGAGGAGGAGGAGGAGGAGGAGGAGGAGGAGGAGGAGGAGGAGGAGGAGGAGGAGGAGGGGGAGGAGAAGGAGGAGGAGGACGACGAGGCGGAGGAAAAGAAGGAGGAAGATGAGGAGTGGGAGGAGGAGAAGCAGGAGGAGACAGAGGAAGAGGAGGAGGAGGAAAGGTGGAGGCCGCGAGCGCCGTCCCGGCTCTCCGTGCGACGGGCGGGCGCGCGTGCAGGGCGAGGAGGATACGACGGCGCGCGAGGCCAATCTCGAGGTCCGCACTTGCGCCGCAGAGACACATCGGCGGCGAGCCCAAGGAGGAATGGTAAGGGAGGGAGAAGGCATTCTCAGAAGGCGACGGGGCTTCTCAGAAGCCCTCGGGCTTTCTGAAAAGTGCTCTGCATCTTCGGGAAAGGATTATAAACTCCTGAGGAGACCGAGGGGCTTCCGAGCCTTCTGAGAAGGCCCGTCTCCTCTCACTTCCCCCCTGGGCTGGCCGCCGAACTGAGGAACAACAAACTGCATCAACACAAACTTGCGGAGCTCTGCGCGAACCTCCGACAGGTCACGTTCGTGCCGTTCGCTCTTCTCCGGGAGAAAGAAACCAAGAACGCTCCTTGCTGTCCAGGACGCCGTCTCCGTCGATATCCCCTTGCGTGATGCACGACGTGGCCCAGCAGGTGGGGTCGTACGGGGCCGCATCCTTCCGTCCATCCGTCTGTTCTCGCTTCCTGTCCGCGTAACCCCTGCTTCTCGTTTACACCTGCCCCCCGCCTTGCTGTCCCGCCTCTGACTGCGAGAGAGAATCAGTCATCAAAGACGCCACCAACCAGTTACGCAGATAGATCTTCTGCCCGCCCGCCACGCTCACACTCGTCTTACTCCACTTCATCCTCCTGGCAAAAGCTCGTTGCCGCAACAGGGTGCTTCATGGAGGCCGAACCTATATTGACTAGAGCCACGCGCGCTTAGCGCGCTCTTAGGTTCTATCCGTGCCTAAGGAACTCGCATCGCCACATCCCAATGAGGAATACAGGGGCGATTCCGCAGCTCCCTCGGGGTCGGCAGTGCGACCTGCTGCAATGAAACACTTAGGATCCAAGCAGCGTGAAAAAGGAAACCATGTTTTGTGTGCACGCTTTTGGACTGTGTCGACGGGCGGGCGGATCGGCGAGCGAAGGGCTCCTCCTCCTCACTGCTGATCCTCCTCCTTATCCTCCTCTTCCTCCTCCTCCTCGCTCCTCCTCCTCCTCCTCCTCCTCCTCCTCCTCCTCATCCTCCTCGTCTTCCTCCTCCTCCTCCTCCTCCTCCTCCTCTTCCTCCTCCTCCTCCTCGCTCTCCTCCTCGCTCCTCCTCCTCCTCCTCCTCCTCCTCGTCCTCCTCCTCCTTCTTGGGCAAGCTGCAAGGCACCAGCCTGTAGCGTACGCCCATGGTATAGGATTAGCTACCGTGCAGCAATCGGCAGGCAAGCCCACGTGCCGTCTGCGCTCAGACAGGCCTGCCGGAAACAGCCACCCCACCACCACCACCAACTCAGAACCAAGCTTCTGAAAAGACGCGCGGGCAGAAGAGCGCGCGTTCGGCAACCCTTGTGGAATTGCGAAAAGAGACACAGAAAACGGAACGCCTCGCGATCGTGAAGCCAAAACATGGAGCGCACGACTGTGAAGCAGAAGCGCGGGAGGGATGACACGGCTCAAGCGCAACCTTGTCCGAGCGAGCTGCAAGCTGAAAATAGAAGACGGGCAGCAGGGCAGGATGATGAGGAACATGGGACACTGCCTATAACTACAATTACAAGAGCTCATGCACAGAGGTGGCCCATCGCTGCCACGGCCGCCCACGCCTCCCGCGATCGGCGGACAGGCCCCCGTGCGGTCTGCGCTCAGGCAGGCCTGTTGGGAACGGCCAGTCTACTTATGCGCAGTTTCGGCGCTCGCCATGCGGGAAGACGAGGAAAAGCAGCAGCAGCAGCAGCAGCAGCAGCAGCCTGGAGGCTTGGAGGCTTCTTCAGGGCTCCTTGCGCTTCTCTGGATCCGCCTGAGGACCAAAGGAGGAGCTGAATAGAAAGAAGAGGGGTGCCCGAGTCTGGCACCGCAGTGCACGCCACCATGGCCAAACCACGATGGATCGAAGGCCACCCCCCCTCCCTCTCCGGCCACGCCTCTGGGGCCCAGCCACGGTGCAAGGAAGGCCAGACACCCGTACTGGTCGCACCAGCACTGCCTCAGATTCGATGACCTTGCCTTCATGGCTGACGAGCGTTCGAGCCAGCTCCAGCCGTCCTTCGGCATTCTTCGAGCCTCTTGGACGGACGCATGGAGATGCGTTCTTGGGCGTCTTTGGGGGCCGTTTGGGAACCCTCTTGGGGACTCTTAGGGCCATTGTGGTGCCGGGTTGGGGGCAGGGCCGTGCCGAGGCCGCCTTGGCACTATATTATGTCGTCTTGGAGCCGTCTTTCCATTTATTCCCCAATCAGTGCTTGCACTGAAGTGGTCCTCGCGGATGTTGCTAGAATTGGCGAAAATGCTTCGCAAATTTTGGTGGCACGCTGGGTTCCGGGGTTCCCGGTTCCGGGTTCCCGGATTCCCGGGTTCCTGGTCATTGGTTCCGGGCCGATGGTTCACTACCGATCTCACTGTCGAATTCATTACGGATCTCATTGGTTCCCGGGTTCCCGGTTCCGGGTTCCCGTGTTCCTGATCATTGGTTCCGGGCCGATGAGTAACTATCGATCTCACTGCCGATCTCACTGTCAAGTTCATTACGGATCACATTCAATGTTCCCCAATCAGTGTTTACACTGAAGGGGTCCTCGCGGATGTTCCCCAATCAGTGCTTGCACTGAAAGGGGTCCTCGCGGATGTTGCTAGAATTGGCGAAAATGCCTCGCAAATTTTGGTGGCACGCTGGGTTCCCGGGTTCCCGGTTCAGGGTTCCCGGGTTCCTGGTCATTGGTTCCGGGCCGATGGTTCACTACCGATCTCACTGTCGAATTCATTACGGATCTCACTGGTTCCTGGGTTCCCCGTTCCCGGTTCCAGGGTTCCTGATCATTGGTTCCGGGCCGATGATTAACTATCGATCTCACTACCGATCTCATTGTCGAGTTCATTACGGACCTCATTCAATGTTCCCCAATCAATGCTTGCACTGAAGGGGTCCTCGCGGATGTTGCTAGAGTTGGCAAAAATGCCCCGCCGATTTTGGTCGCACGCTGGGTTCCTGGGTTCCCGGGTTCCCAGTTCCGGGTTCAGGGGTTCCTGGTTCTTGGTTCCGGGCCGATTTCGGAGGGCGACGAGGTTCCTGGGTTCCTGGGTTCCTGGTCGATGTCTTGTCGATCGGTCTCACCATCGATCTCATTACCGACTTCTCGATCGATCTGACCATCGATCTCACAATCGATCGCACTATCAATCTCACAAGCGATCTCACTAGAGATCGCATGAGCGATCTCGCGATCGATCTCACTATCGATCTCATTGAATCGATGTCGCTCTCGGTCTCACGATCGACCTTACAATCGTCCTCACTATCGATTCCACTCTCGATCTCATGATCGATCTCACAATCGATCTCAAGATCCATAGTATCAATTTTCAAATCCACTGATTGGGATTTTCTCAGGTGTAAGAGGGGGGGGCAAGATCTCGAGAGGCACGGCCGTCGCCAGATCAGGCAGGCGCACGACAATCGTAGGAAGGCAGCGCGAAGCAAGAAATGGAGCACAGGCTCGCCCGAGATGCTTGCGGAGCTCCAGAAAGGCTGGAGGTGCGCAAGAGCTGCGGAGAACGGCAGTTGTGCACGCTTCATGTGCGCAGCAGCGCGTGGGAGCGGTTGCAGGGAGGCGAGGGAGGGAGGGGGGAGCGGGAAGGCCAGGGCCAGGGGAAGGGGCAGGACATGGGGGCCAGGTCTCCAGGCTACTGGCTCGGGCCACGCTGCATGGCCCAGTCTTGGCCAGAATCGTGGAAGAGGGGGGAGGCAAACAGTGCGAGCGGAAACCGACTAGGGTCCCAAAGGCTCGTCGCAGGGCCAAAGCTGAAGTGCACACAGATATGGAGAGGGCCGACGATGCAGTTTTCGATGACAGCACATCGTTGAGCGGTTCTGCAGCTTCTCCTGAGCACAGCCCCCCCCCCCTGGAAGTATCAGCCAGACAAGTCGGTTTGGAACCCTCATGCCTTGCTGGTCTCTGGGCGCGCCGACCCGTCGGAGGTGCCACAAATTCTGTTGACGGCGGCAGGGACAGTGGCGGTGGGGCAGACGCGTCCAGTTTTGTCGGCGTGCAAAGCCAGACTGTAAGAAGGAGAAGAAAGATGAGACGAGGAGATCGAGATGGCAAGTGAGAAGAGAGCACGCCAACTCCCATGGGGGAAGTAATGCACAGAACGGCACCGAAGAGTTGATGCAGGGTAGTTATCCCGTCGGTCGGTTCCAAGCTGACGGCTGAGCACGAGCCAGCACGGGTAGGTGTAACACCCTGCCGTGATACATCTGGCATCCGCTCAGACCTAGGCGTCGCAATATAGTAATGAGCCTTGCATTGTCACGTTCTGCAACTGAAAGCGACTGTTCTTGCACGGCGCCGTCAACCACAACAACTTCGGAAGAAAAGCAGATCAAAGGGAAAGGAGTCGAGATGAACGGGAGTCCACGTCACGAAAAAATGCGGCGTCGAACGTGAGGGTGTTCCAGGGAAGTTGCAAGGGTTGGCAACAGCTGGCCTCTCAGGTTGATAAACATTGGGTTCGTGCTCTCATGGTTTGTCATCGGCTGAGTCATGTATAAATTGGCAAGAACGTTTTGGACAATCAGCCGACAAAAAAATCGGCTGGGTAACGATGAGGTGTGAGCTGATACATTGCACGGGGACTCCCCGCCGAGGTTGAAACCTTCCGTTTTACCAGGTGCGACCGAGCGACTGGGCACCCTCCCCCTCCAGGAAGAACTCAGACATCACCGCCGGAGCGCAGGACAGCACACGCGCTGGCCCCAGACCTGGCCGCAGCGGCCCCGAGCTCACGATGCCCTCGGCCGGTGCGGAGCCTGGGAGACGCAGAAGGTGTGCGCATGAGCGGTGAGCGCCGCGGCAGGGGTACCCTGCGGTGGGGGGCTTCCCGCGTTAGCGGGCGGCCCCCTTGTGCCTGCGTCCCGGAGTTTGGTCAGTTGCGTTCACCATATATATATATATATATGTGTGTGTGCATTCTAAATTAAGCCGTGCCCTATTGCATCCGATGCACAATTCCCGCTCGCATCCGCATGATTTCAAACATCGACCTGACCTAAGGAACGATTCATGAGGAACGAAGCCCCATTTGTTCGAAGGAATAACGGAAAAGGAACGAGATAGAATGAATCACACATAAAGAACGATGAATAACGCATGCAAGCCTAACGACCGAGCGAGCCCCTTTCGAAAAGTAAGTGTTCCTTGCTCAAGCCGCTCACTGCAGGACACGAAAGCTCACCTCTCGCAGAAGGCACCTCCGAACGCCGCGACACACCACGGCGGGACAGGCGAAGCGCCCGGCCCCGACGCTCGGCCTGACAGCCAGGGCACACGGCCTGGGCGGGCCGATCACGGGAGCAGAACGGATGGGCGCAAGGCTGCGGCGGCGCCCTCACCAGGGCCGGGAGCCAGAGGTGTTCTGGTGGTGAGGTTTTCCTACCTGCTCGCTCTCCCTCCCTCCCTCTCTCTCT